TATTTTTTGTTGTTTTTCAAAAAAAATCATTTTTTGCGATTTTTCTAAAATGTTTCATTTTTTGCGATTTTTCAAAAATTTTTAATTTTTTGCGATTTTTCAAAAAATTTTCATTTTTGTGACTTTTTGCGTTTTTTCAAAAAAAATTCATTTTTTGCCATTTTTCAAAAAATTTTCATTTTTTGCGATTTTTCAAAAATTTTTCATTTTTTGCGATTTTTCAAAAAAAATTCATTTTCTGCGATTTTTCAAAAACTTCATTTTTGTGATTTTTTGCGTTTTTTCAAAAAAAATCATTTTTTGCCATTTTTCAAAAAACTTTCATTTTTTGCGATTTTTCAAAAAATGCTCATTTTTTGTGATTTTTCAAAATATGCTCATTTTTTGCGATTTTTCAAAAAATGTTCTAGTTTTGCGATTATTAAAAAAATATATTTTTTGTGATTTTTTGCGATTTTTCAAAAAATATATTTTTTTGTGATTTTTCGCGATTTTTCAAAAAAATGTATTTTTTGTGATTTTTTGCGATTTTTCAAAAATTTTTCATTTTTTGTGATTTTTTGCGATTTTTCAAATATTTTTCATATTTTGCGATTTTTCAAAAAATGTTTATGTTTTGCGATTTTTCAAAAAAAATTCATTTTTGTGATTTTTTGTGATTTTTCAAAAATTTTCATTTTTTGTAATTTTTTGTGATTTTTCAAAAAATTTTTATTTTTTGCGATTTTTCAAAAAATGTTCATGTTTTGCAATTTTTCAAAAAAAATTCATGTTTTGCGATTTTTCAAAAAATTTTCATTTTTTGTGATTTTTTGTGATTTTTCAAAAAATTTTCATTTTTTGTAATTTTTTGTGATTTTTCAAAAAATTTTAATTTGCGATTTTTCAAAAAAATTCATTTTTTTGTTATTTTTCAAAAAAATTCATTTTTTGTGATTTTTTGTGATATTTGAAAAAATTTTGATTTTTTTGTTATTTTTCAAAAAAATTTCATTTTTTTGTGGAATTTTCACAAATTTTTATTTTTTGCGATTTTTCAACATTTTTTAATTTTTTGCGTTATTCAAAAAATGTTCATTTTTTGTGATTTTTTTGCGATTTTTTAAAAAATTTTCTTTTTTGCGATTTTTCAAAAAATTAATTTTTTGCGAATTTTTAAAAATTTTTACTTTTTGTTATTTTTAAAAAATTTTAGATTTTTTGTTATTTTCCCAAAAAAATCTTTTTTTGTGATTTTTCCAAAAATTTTCATTTTTTGCGATTTTTCAAAAAATGCTAATTTTTTGTGATTTTTCAATATGCTCATTTTTTGCGATTTTTCAAAAAATGTTCTAGTTTTGCGATTTTTCATTTTTGTGATTTTTTGCCATTTTTTTTTTTTAAATTATTTTTTGTGATTTTTTGCAATTTTTCAAAAAATTTTCATTTTTTGTGATTTTTTGCGATTTTTTTAAAAATTTTGATTTTTTGTGATTTTTGAAAAAATGTTCATGTTTTCCGATTTTTCAAAAAATGTTCATGTTTTGCAATTTTTTTAAAAAAAATTAATTTTGTGTGAATTTTCAAAAATGTAATTTTTTTTAAATTTTATATTTTTTATTTTTTGTGATTTTTTTATTTTTGTGCTTTTTCAAGATTTTATAATTTTTCGTGATTTTTCTTGATCTTTCAAGATTTTTTCATTTTTCAATATTTTTCGATTTCTCGAGATTTTTCGTGACACTGAAGCGGTTCCAGCAGTACATTCTCAGCAAAGAGATAGGCTTTATTTTATTTTTTAAATACTTTTTTAAAAATATATATCATGCTGGCAACATTTTAATGCAAACTACAACTTGTAACTCACAGAAACCCCCAAAGGACAGGCCTCTTCCTGCAGTGGCGGCCAGCTCCAGCTCATCGGGTTCTAGAGGTGACGGTGGATGAGCAGATGATGCGCTACTTGTGAAAAAACCTCAATGCTTTTGAAGCACAAGGTGCACAGCAAATTCATTGGTGTTCAATTTTTAAGTGTTGTGGTAATTCAGAGTGAAGTGTCAAAATTCTAGAGTTATATAAAGTGTCATACACTAAAGCTTCAGCAGCTCTTTATGACACACAGACATCAAGAATCAGGATATGAACCTCAACCATGGTTGCTAAAAAGAAAAAAGCTGCATATTTCATGCTGGGTGCCAGCATAGTACAAAGCTCCCAGCATGCATTGCATCATAAATAAATTATGCAGCTTTATGTTGTTACAATCTCTTTCTTTTTATTTATTTTGTGTTGTGTTTGGGAGGTAATATTTCAGTAGTTTTTTTAATTGATTTTTATTTTTTTTGTTTGTCACCATTATTGAGATTCAAAGACTAATTGTTGATGTCTGTGTGTTTTTAAGTGCTGCCATAGATCAAACATTCACATTGTAAATCATTCTTTTAAAGTCATTAATTGTTAAAGCTTCAGTGGTTTCATTTATGTATTTTATTTATTTCACACACATAACTAATGTGACACTGAATTAGAAAACAAGCAGGAGAAGATGGCTTTGATATCATAGTTAATCTCTTCAGACTGACTCTTACATTTTCTTTTGAATTTTCATGCTACATGTAAGAATAGTGTGATTAGCACTAATAATTATAGCATCCAAATAAAAAAAAAATTTTATAGCAAGAAGTTGAAGAACCCTACTAAAGCAGACTCTGTCCTCCATCATGGTGACTTCAAATGAACAACAGAAATTTCATAAAGAGCTTTTGTTCACATGACAGAATTAAAGCCAAAGCTCAGTAATAAGTGAAGCTCCATGATGAGTTGTTTAATGTGATGAGTTGTTTTAAAGATGTTGAAAATAAAAATAAATTTTATTGTGTAATTTGTTAATTTTTTTTATTCATTATTATTTTATTTAAAGTTTTATTCTCAGTTGATTTCATCTTTGGTTTTGGCTACTGCTGCCAGTATTTTGATATACATTTTACATATATTTTACACAATAAGAGTTTGCTAATTAACACTCTCTGAGTGGTAATTTTTTTAAACACTTTCAAAAGTGTTATTTTAACACTTTTTATAGTGGTTCCCATATAAACACTGAGGGAGTGTTAATTTGAACTCTAAGGTAGTTAAATCTACAATCTAAAATTTGCAGTGTGTATAACCCTTTATTATTGTCTTTAATTGTTTATGTACCATAGCATAATCAATTAAACACAACATCAAAACACTGTGCTGATGAGATTGTCTTCTTGCTGCTTTGACACTGACTTTTGCCTATCTTGTGTTTTTTTTTTGTCCTTCTTTAGCAGTTGAGGACAAAGGCGGTCTGCCGAAGAAACCACTCAGCTCCTCTGAAAGACAAGGTATATCACATAATCAATGTCACTTATTAACATTTATTCATACTGTTGCAGCATGAAGTACAGTTGAGGGCGCTCCTGTGAAATATTTATTCAAGGTAATGGAGCAAGGACATTTTCACAGTACTTACGATAGTATATTATCTTCTGAAGAAAGTTTTATTTGTTTTATTATTTATGTTTTTCTATTGGCTACAGAACAAACAGTGTTAAGCTAGTTAAGCCTTTACTTTCTCAATCTGAATATGGTAGCACTTCAGTATAATAGTCCTTTAGTTAATCAATTTACTAACACTAAGTGTCACCAATCTTGTGCCGCCTTTATTAATATCAGTTCAACATTAATGCATTATTAAAATCCAAAGTTGTGCTTGTTGACATTATTTCATGCACAGTGCATTAATGAACTAACGTTATTTAACTTAAACATTAAATCGTTAACAAAGATGAATGAATACTGTAATTAATGTATTAAACTTCTAAGTCATGTCAGTAAATGCATTAACTAATATTAACTAATGGACTATTACTCTAAAGTGTTACCTTAAAGGGTGACACTTTACAATAGAGGTTGGGCTGTCATCATGTGTCCTTGTGGCATAGTTTACAGTATAAAATGTAATCTGCGAGCAGAAAGTCCACGGGATTTTGCAGATATGCTTCTGTCTTGGAAGCATCTGCCAAATGTTGTTATTTATGACTTTGCCCGTGGACTGTCCACCCACACAAATTTGAGGCAACCCATAACTTTCACACCTTTCGAGGGAAGGTTACTCGAACCAACCACTGAAAATATTGCAAAAGCAAAATCAGGAAAATTACAGGTAACTCTGCCATGGCTCACTGCAAAAAAGCAAAGTCCAGATCCGGATGGTCATCCAATAACTGGTTCTGCAGAACACTATGTTCTGTATGACCGCTTTCACGAAGACAACACAAAAGATCCTCGTGATTCACTGAGGAAGCTTCGTCTTGTGCCTCAACTAGCTGGCAAAGTTAACAGTCAGGCTGCAGAACAGCTTTTTTCAAAGCTAAAGAAAAATAACTACTTTATGAACATGGCATTGCCATCCACACATGTTTTCCTCATGCGAAACATCATCCACCATTACAATGTCAGAAAAAACGAGAAACGTCTTCATGACATAAAAAAGGAATTCAACACAAACATTCACATGAATGACCACAGCCAGATTGTGTTAGGTAATGTTTCCCTTACTTTGTAACAAATACATCAATATATCCATAACTGTACTTATGTGTATATTTGTATTTATAGAAAATCCATCCTCCACAGAGAAATGCATGGACATGTCACTTGGTAATTTGACTGTTCTTTCCAGTTGCTCAGTGTCAAGTTTCTGTTCACTAATTATTATGTGTTATTTTCTAATTTTGATGCTTTAATGTACTCTAAGGACCACTGACAGCACTGCCAGAAAATATTGTGACTTTACAAACGACCGCTGCATCACCAGGCATAACATCAGTCACATCTCCTCTGTCATCAGTACCAATTACAGAAAAAACAGCTTGTGAACCTACCACTCTTCTGAATTTTTTGGAACCTACTAAGCCTTGGGAGAGGGACTGGCATCCATTACAAGAGAAACTAGTGAACAATTACCATTACATACAAACGCACACACACACACACACACACACACACATATTTATTGTTATTATTATTACAGCTTGATTATGTGCTGGACCGAAATCGCCCTGGCAGTGAAATAATTGTGAAGGAGGGGCAAGTGTGCCTTATTCGAGAAGAATTTTGGAGCCTTGGATTGTTGAGGGACATGGACTCCCATGTAAGCAGTCTGTTTTTTTATTATAACTTATTTTTAATTAAAAACATTGATTTAAGTATTTATTGCAGATTGGAAACGCCTGCATGAAGCTTATTTGTGAAATGGCTCGACAAATTGTATGTACTATAAAACATAATATTTATATAGATTGTTTTAACTTGATCCAAATTTAAAAAAAAAAAACAATTTCTAAACTGTGTGAAAATGTTCATGTCATTGTCAACAGTTTCTTTTTATTCATGTAGGGCAAGGACATATACATTGAGGACTTTTATGTTGTCTCTGTGTGGAAAGAAACTCCTAACAACATTGTTAATGGATTACCGGTGCGTGTATGTACTGTATTTACTGTGTGAGAAGTACAAACTAAATTAAACGACATAACTGTCCTGATCAATTCTAGGAAGATGCAGACTTGAAAGACCTGTTAGCCTTTCCAGCATGGACAAATGCCAATGGACCAGACCACTTGGTTGTCTGTGTAAGAAAATATTGAAATGTCTAGTGCATACAATAATTGGTATTGCAATGTGTGTGTTTCTAAAATAAAACACTGAAAAATCTTGGAAGAAGCAATAATGTTCAAATGAAATATTTTTACACCTTTAACATTGTAGATAATGATGCCGCTTCGAAGAGAGATGGTGTTCTTAGACTCTCTGTACGCAGAGCATGAATCAGGATTTGGAGATGAGGAATACAGGGCAATTTTTAGGTCTATCAATAAACTAAGACGTTTCAGCCTTTATGTGATATATGGCTACGTTCCTATAGCCATTTCTATTTATTTCCTAACCGTGTAGTTCTGTCACTTTTGGCTACGTTCCTATAGCCGTTTCTTGAACTTCTGGCTATGTTCATCTAGCCTTTTTTATGCATGGTGTTCTAGAGTTGAGGTGAGCTGTAATTGTTAGTATTACTACTATGTTTTGTTTACAGGAAAATTTCTTACCAAGTGGATCATGGGACATGGTCTGAAAAGACTGGATATGATTTTCCAGTGAGGAATCAACTTAAAAAATATATATATATTATTTGGCTTTTACAACAATTAAATTTTTTGTACATTATTCTAAAATAAAATTGATTTGCTTTGCCTATTTTAGGCTTTGCCACGTCAGACAAGAGGGAATGATTGTGGTGTTTTTGTACTCATGGTAAGATATAAATTTCACTATATATTGACTATACTATACTATAAATTGATTTAAAGATTTTGTAAACATTGTAAATGACTGTGGCTTCTCTCTTTTCAGTACACCCTCTCAATGGTGTGTGGCATTGGGTTTCAACTCCAGGAGGTATTATTTTATTATTTATGTAACTTTATTTTGTTGGTGCTTTTCTTAATCATAGCTAAAATGTAACTATTTTAGTGTATATTATCTTGCTTTCTTCTAAGCAACATATCTTTTAAAAAAAGGGGCATGGTTATTGCAAGCACACCCAACATCATGTATTAACAAAAACATGTTGGTTAACTGTCAGACTAAACAGTCTTTCTTTCAGATGGATATACCTATCATCCGTCAGTGGTGGTGCCTTCTACTCATGGAACAATTTCAAATTGATGGGTATGTCAGTAATTATTTATTTTTCTTGTAAATCTGTAAAATTAAAAATTTATATTGTGTCAATACAACAACTTGTAACATGAATAACAAAACATACTTAAAATCTCTTTTACCGGTGACCAGTATGTCACCGACTCGGTCCCAGTAACTCCCCTCGCTGGCCAGCAGAGGCCACCATCTCCGGACTTTTAGCATTACGTAATCCATCTACACTGATTGCGCATACACCTGATTGGAATCTGGCTAATGACCCACGTACCTCTTATAAGCCGCACTCAAACACTCGTTCAAGGCGAAGTCTTGTTTAGCCCCGGCCAGCATTTCTGAGCATTATCTCCAGCCTGATCTCCTGTGCACGACTCCAGCCTGTCTCTTACTTTGCTTCGCCTTCTGCCTGCCCACGACCCACGCTTGTTATACGGACTCTGACTCTCTCTCTGCCTGCCCACGAACCACGCCTGTTATACGAACTCTGATCCTTGCTGCCTGCCCTTGAGCCAAGCCTGCATAACGGATCCTGGTTCTCGCTCACTCCCTTCCACTCATGCCTGGTAACTCACTCTGTGTCTGTTCATCATCAGTCTTGATACCCATACTACTACTGTGGATGTGTGTGTGCACTCCGGTGCATATTGTGTGTTTGAGTGAAGTTGTGATTAATAAATACTGCATAATGGATCCCTCCGTGTCAGTCTCCTCGTTACACGTAATTATGGATTTTGTCTTGTCTTGTTATTAAAAGCTATGGGCACAGATTTGCTTTCTGGACTGAGGAGGCAAGAAGTGTCTTGGATGGAAAGATTCTGCTCCTTTTTAGGGTGAAAAGAAAAACCACATCCAATCTTCCGGCACATGTCCAAGCAGTTCAAGATCGGGAAAGGAATGACAAAAGATTAGTGGACTTGATTATCACATCAAAATCAGCAGAGCAGCATTTGGTGGTATAGATGGTTCCACTTTAAATTACTCCTCTAGACTCTGAGTATGGTTGACTTAAATATAGTCAAGTGACAATTTAACTATTATTTGCCAAATATAATTAATTACTTGTGCATTTACATATGAAATATAATTTCCTTCTATGGCCCAAAGGATATACTCGGTGGGAAAAGGTCAAATTGGTTTCCACTAAAACCCCGTTCTCAAGTGCCTGTCTACATTGAGAATGAGCAGTCCCAGTCAATCATTTGTGACTATATCAGAGGAATTCTTAATAAAACCAAAACACAGCTGACCTTAAATGATGAGGTGGAGTTCATTTGTGGATGTCTTCTCCCAGAGGTAATCACAAAACATGTATGTACATGAGCATGCTTATGTTCTGCAGTGTGTGTTTTATTTTATTAATTGGTTTATCTGTATGTTTGTACAGGCCATAACTTATGGCATTTCCGAGTTACAAGGCTTGTCTTGGCAGGAGGCTGAAGATGTCTTCCTCCAGGGCCCCATTTATCACGCAAGGTATGTTTACATTTTTTTTTTGTACAAAAGCTGTTAAGTTTTTATGTTAAACACAATTTCTGACAACAGCATTTTTTTTTTTTATTTTAGTGAAGTTGAGAAATTTAACAGAAGAATTGCTCGAGATATGAAAAATCTCCCCAACAAGAATTTAAAGCATTTTATTTTATATGTAATAAATACATTAATAATCCAAGTATTGTTTTTCACAATTTTTCTCAGCATTTTTTACAGCTCGATGACTTGTAGGACCTCATGAAAATTTATAAAAAAATAAAGTTTGGTGTGAGAAAATTACTCCGAGTACTATCATTTATTCTGTGAATAATAAGATAATGTTCATTCCCTCAACTCAATACTAAAGAGTTTGATAAATCCTTAATGATCTAAAAACAAAAAACAACAACAAAAACAATAAATGACTGAAAATATTTGAGTAACTGAACAATATCTATTTACAAATACAGTTAATTAAAATACAACAGACTTAATGCATTAAATTATAATCTAGTATGTTTAATATTTTATATAATAATGTATTCAATCATAGTGCAATAATTTAGAGTAGAAAAATAGTGTAATTTATAAATCAATGAATTCAGGTTAGGCAATTTTTCCAACAGCAGGTGGCACTGTCTGAAAAAACGATAGGTCTGGAAGTGTTGGTCTGAGCGAGCAGGTCTGAGCGTGCGGTTGGGTCTCGGGGCCTGCAGCTTCATAATGTTGCCACAGAGACTTAGGGAATGGTCACCTACAGTGGTAGAAACGCGGAACTTTGTCTAGACACTGTTAACTGTGATACCTTCCCTACCCATGACAATGTTCTGCTAAATCCTGATTTTATCTTGTAACGCTGGACAGAATGTGGCCCAGGATCTTTGTCCAGTGCACGTGTTAGCAGTTGCAAGGCAGCAAAATTGATCCGTCCCTGGGTGGGCTTGAACCACCAACCTTTCAATTAACAGCCGAATGCGCTAACCGATTGTGCCACAGAGACTTAATGAAAAGTCACCTACAGTGGTAGAAACGCGGAACTTTGTCTCAAAAGATCTGCTATATGAACCCTAATGTAATCTTGCTGAGAGAGAGAGAGAGAAAAGTGACAGAAATGCCCAACGTGGGGCTTGAACCCACGACCCTGACATTAAGAGTCTCATGCTCTACCGACTGAGCTAGCCAGGCGGATGAGGAGTTCCCACTAAAACTAGACACTGTTAACAGTAATACCTTCCCTACCTGTGACAATCTTCTGCTAAATCCTGATTTCATCTTGTAACGCTGGACAGAATGTGGCCCAGGATCTATGTCCAGTGCACGTGTTAGCAGTTGCAAGGCAGCAAACTGCCTAATTCGTCCCTGGGTGGGCTTGAACCACCAACCTTTCAGTTAACAGCCGAACACGCTAACCGATTGCGCTACAGAGACTTAGTGAAAAGTCACCTACAGTGGTAGAAACGCGTAACTTTGTCTCAAAGTCTGCTACATGAACCCTAATGTAAGTTTGCTGGGATAGAGAGAGAAAAGTAACAGGAACGCCCAACGTGGGGCTCGAACCCACGACCCTGACATTAAAAGTCTCATGCTCTACCGACTGAGCTAGCCGGGATGATGACAAACTCTTTTAGGAACCAGAAACCGTTTACAGTAATACCTTCCCTACCCGTGACAATGTTCTGCTAAATCCTGATTTCATCTTGTAACGCTGGACAGAATGTGGCCCAGGATCTATGTCCAGTGCACATGTTAGCAGTTGCAAGGCAGCAAAATGCCTAATTCGTCCCTGGGTGGGCTTCAACCACCAACCTTTAAGTTAACAGCCTAACGCGCTAACTGATTGCGCCACAGAGACTTGGTGAAAGGTCACCTACAGTGGTAGAAACGCGGAACTTTGTCTCAAAAGGTCTGCTATATGAACCCTAATGTAAGTTTGCTGAGAGAGAGAGAGAAAAGTAACAGAAATGCCCAACGTGGGGCTCAAACCCACGACCCTGACATTAAGTGTCTCATGCTCTACCAACTGAGCTAGCCAGGCGGGTAAGGAGCCCCCACTAGAACTAGACACTGTTAACAGTAATACCTTCCCTAACGTGACAATATTCTGCTAAATCCTGATTTCATCTTGTAACGCTGGACAGAATGTGGCCCAGGATCTATGTCCAGTGCACGTGTTAGCAGTTGCAAGGCAGCAAAAGGCCTAATTCGTCCCTGGGTGGGCTTGAACCACCAACCTTTCAGTTAACAGCCGA